TCTGGCTCCTGGAAATCCCCAAATATCAGGGGTTATTGCCAAGGCTCTCGGTTACTTCCCACAACCTAATAGCCTCTATTGCTGAAGACAATATTTACATATGTCATCAAACATGGAAGACCTCTAGTCAACTTGACAGACAAGTTGAATCATATGTCAGTCTCCCTTCCTTGTACATATGAAAATGGAAACTAATTAACAATATAGGCCACCAGGAAAGGAAATGTTTGGCTCTATTACAGAGCATTTTTGAAAGTGGATGAAAGGTAATTATCAATATTTGTTAGCTACAAACCCTGGTCACCTAGTAGCAGTAACTTGCCTACAAGACACGCCTGTGTAATAGGGGCACAAACATTATGGGAGTAACCAACCACTCTTTTCTTTCTTGGACCTAAGGCCCACGCCATGAGATGAAACTCATACTTAAACTGTATTCACGTATCATGGCACAAGTGTGGAGGTCAGAAGACAACTTCTGAGATTTGGTTTCTCCACCTAGTCAATCCAGGAATTGAACTAAGGCCATCAGGCTTGGTGGCAGGTGCCTTTACTTGCTGAACCATCTTGGTGGCCCTTCAAGTCAATTTCAATATACACATCAAAATTTTCTTAATCAGTTTATTAGAATTTTGTGTAAATGTCACTTCTTGATTTAGACTATAAACTTAATTTAAAGTTTGTATTCTACTCAAATATTTGTGGAAGCAAGATATAATATTATGAAACTTTTATATGCATTAGTTTTCTCTCCTACTTCATTAAAAATGTTTAAATGTATGTTTATATGTAAATGTGAGGATATATACCTATATGTAAGTGGGTGCCCACAGAGTTCAGAAGAGGCCGTTGCCCTGGAGCTGGAGTTATAGGTAGTTGTGAGCTGCCCATGTGGGTGCTGAGACCAAACTCTGGTCCTCTGGAAGAACAGTACATACTCTTAACTATGGAGACCTTTTTCCAGCCCCCTTTCTACCTTTTAGCAGAATTTTAAAATTTCCTAAGTTGTATGTGATGAGAGATGGCTCAGTGATTAAGAGAACTTGTTGCTCTTGCAGGGGACCCAAGTTTGGTTCCCAGTACCCACATGGTGATTCACAACTATCTGACCCAGAGGATCTGATGCCCTCTTCTGATCTGTGTGGCACTAGTCATGCATGTGATATATATACATAAATGTAGGCAAAAAACTCCATATGCAAAATATAAAAATTGTAAGTTTGTTAGGTATGTCCTGTTGTGAGTCTTGGCTAAGCTGCTTCTTAAAAAAAAATACTTTTTTCTTCTTTACAATTTATTCATTATATATCCTGACTGAAGCTCCCTCCCTCAATTCCCCTAGTCCCACCCTCCCTCCCTCTTCCCCCTACCGCCTTCCCCTAGTCCACTGAATAAGGGAGTTCTCTATTACCATCTGCCCATAGTTTGTTAAGTCTCATCAGGACTGCCTGGATCCTCTTCCTATATGGCCTGGCAATGCTGCATCAAGGAAATCATAAAACTTGCAGGCAACTGGATGGGACTAGAAGAGATCATCCTGAGTGAGGTACCCAGACACAGAAAGACAGGCATGGTATACACTTACTAATAAGCGATATTAGCCATGTATTATAGGATAGCCATCTATGGCCCTAAAGAAGCTAAACACTACGGAGGACCCTAGGGAGGATGCTTAAATCTCATTCCAAATGACAAACAGGATAGACACCAGAAGTGGCGGAAGAGAGGAAACAGGATGGGAGCCTACTATAGAGAGTGCTCTCAAAGGCTTCACCTAACAGGATAGAAGCAGATGCTGAGACTCAGGGCCAAACTTTGGGCAGAGCACAGGGAGTCTTATGGAAGAAGAGAGGGTGTGGGAACAGAGGGACATGGAGGGGAACCCTACAAGGTAACCAACAAAACCAAAAGTTCTGAGCCCAGGGGGTCCTGCAGAGACTGATGCACCAATGAAGGACCATGCATGGAGAGGACTTAGACCCCCTGCTAAGATGTGGCCATCTGGCAACTCAGTCTCCCTGTGGATCTCTGAGTGAGGGGAGCAGGGACTACCTCTACTACCTCTATCATGAACTCAGTTGACTGCTCTTTGATCACTCACCCCTGATGATGCGGCCTTGCTAAGATGCTCTTTTAGAGGAGTAAAATAACTCATTTATACCTCCCATCTCCCCAGTCTCCATAACCTGAGGCTCGATTTCATAGCATATTTATTGTTTTCTCTATTACTAAGTCTGCATTTTACATCACTGAAGTAGGGCTACCATCTAGTGGTGAAAGCAAGTAGCAGCTGGCTCTCCATTGCCCTTGCTTTTTTAACAACTTTGTCTCAATTTTAAAATATAAAAAAATAACAAGAATCATTATTTACTAATAGTGAGAGGATCGAAACTGACAGTTGTTCAAGAAGACCTCTAGTTAACTTGACAGACAAGTTGAATCATATGTCAGTCACCCTTCCTTGTATTTATGAAAATGGAAACGAATTAACAATATAGGCCACCAGGAAAGGAAATGTTTGGCTCTATTACACAGTATTTTTGAAAGTGGATGAAATACAGACAGAAGTTGACAAAGAATTCTAAGTGTAGGTGATGAGTGCACATCAACACACACAAACAACTAGGCTTGGCTCTTCTAGCTGGAGAGGCAGAGTAAATGGATCACTACATTCTTTAACTATTATGATTTTGAAATTTCGTCTTTCTAAATAACTTGGAAAACTATAAAATGTTTCTTAAAAAGATTTTTTTTGCTGTTAAGAGAAAGGGGAAACAAATCTAAAAGTTCTCAGCAGTGAGAAGTAGCTATTGTACAGCTCAGTAATTTTAGCCTGAAGTGATAGATTCAGGCCAAGTGAGACACTGTGTAAGCCACTAAGACACCATCTGTGCAAGCCCCAGAATAACTTCACTGCTGGTGCCAGTGCCACAAACAAGTCTTTGAAAGCTCACTGCTCACTGTAAAAACGTAAATGGGCCACCTCCTTTTTCAAAAGTTGGCATATGTTGGCATACATTGTGCAGAGCACTAACAATCTCTTAGCCCAATATGTAAAATAGTAATTCAAAGGCTATAATTTGCTAGTATTTCATATGTTCATTTTCATTCACTATCAAAAAGGCTTATTTTTTCAATTGGTAGCTTCTTTCAGGAAATAAAAAAGAATATGGGCTGACTTTTAGACTAATTTCTTACTTAGCTTAAGTTCTTTCTAGTCTAAATACAACTGATAAAACAGTTACCAAAATAAAATGTATATTCCTTTATCATAGACCTTTATGATTTATGTAATTATGACCTTCACCATTTTTTTTGCTATGAGTAGGGTGTTTCTTTAGTTTTCTTGTGCCCAAGAATACAATTAGTCAATTTCATACCAGACCTTATGTTGCATTTGTTCTAGAAAAACTCACTGTACAAATTTAAAATAATACTGAAGTTTCAGTGACTTCATGCCATTATTTGACTAGATTTTATAATAGAAAGGCTTTGGAAAGAACAGATAAACCAATGAAAAGTCCTGATTTCTTATTGTTAGACTGGTTTTGATATACACGTACAGTCATGGTGTGAGTTTGGAGGTCAGAGAACAACTTATGAGAGTCAGTTCTCTTTTTATACCACGTTGTTCAAGGTACCAAACTCAGGTCATTCGGCTTGCTGGCTAGGCTGCTAAACCGTTTTTGTTTGTTTTGGAGACAAGTTTTCTCTTTGTAGTCCTGGTTGTCCTAGAATTTGTTATATAGACCTGGATGGCCCCCAATTTCATAGAGATTCACCAGTCTCTGCCTCCTGAGTGCTTCGATTAAAGGCAGACATCACCATGTCTAGCTGCTGAGCCGCCTTCTTACTGGCCAAAATCTTACCATGTGTTTTAGCATCAAGACAGCAAATGGAAAAGGAAAGAAAGACATTCCATATATTTAAATAACATAGTAGCTGTTTGTTATTTTAAAATTATACCCTCAGAATGACAGAATTCTCCCTAGAGGAGACTGCTCTGTTTCCTCCGAGTTATCTACGTAAGCTATTGGCAAAGGCTGTCTCCCTCGAGGCTATCTGTGACTCTGAAGTGTGCCTTGAGCTTGTGTTCTGGATAACCCTGGAATTATCTGGGAGAAACTGTACTGCCGGCCTGTACCCTCTCAGTCATGACGGCATCTACCTGTGACTCATTAGATCACCCTGCACCTGGAAAGAGGAGTGCGAGCCCCTCACAAATTGGAATCGTGAGCATGTTATTTTAGATTCCTACATTGTTTGTTCTGTTTACACATAAGCTACTTCTCATTATCTCTAGACACAATTTTAGGGTTCTAGAGACATTTTTTGGGAAAACAAACTGTTGACAAATATTTTCAGTATTACTTGGAAATGCTCAAGCTCACCAAACAGGAAAATCTGTAACAGTAAAGACATTGGGTAAAGAACTAGATTAGAAGTTAAGAGCACTGGCTGCTTTTCCAGAGGAACCAGGTTCGCTCCACAGCACCCACATGGTGGCTTGTAGCTCCAGTTCTAGGGGATCTGATGCCCTCTCTTAGCCTCAGGCCAAGAGCACAGATATACATGGAGGCAAAAATAGCCATAAAAATAAAAGAAAACTAATCTTTTTTTGTTTGTTTGTGTTTTGTTTTTTCAGACAGGGTTTCTTTGAGATCCACCTGCCTCTGCCTCCCTGAGTGCTGGGATTACAGGTGTGTGCCACCACACCTGGCTTAAAACTAAATCTTGAAAAAAGAGTAAATATATGCCTCGTAATACTAGACAGAATATTTGAGCAATTTTATATCTTAGACCTCCTAGGTACTGACCCACACGTGAAGGGATACAACTACAAATTAAAAAATGCCCACTTATTTTCATTTTTCACCTTCTATTTAAAATAATCACAGTCCAAGTCATCTTTTGCACAACAATTCGAAAGCCTAGGTACTGGATAACAATGAAGAGCTGACTTAAGCAGTCTCATTAAGACGAGTCAGCACTCATCTTACCGTGGTGATGTAGCGGGAATGGAATTCTGGAGCATCTTTCAGGAAGGTGAGCCCAGGGTGTGTATCCACCACATCCTTAAAAGAGAATCAAAACTAAGTCAACAAACATTAAAAGAAGCTCCCCAGAAGTTTTCCCTTCTTATGGAATAGGCTGACACTTGAGCAAATCTTCTGTTCTGGAATACTGCATAATGTACTGAAAATTTAATTAATACTTTTGTATAATCATGTTTTGCAATACATGATTTTGTCCATGCACATAATATGCTTAAATATAAAAATTTAAGTTAGCTATATTTAGTGATTTGTGAGTCAAATATCTTAGAGTACATCTCACAGATCTTGGTAGGGTTTACTAAGAGTTATGACAGAGACAAGCCAACAAGAATGATTTTCTTTCTTAGTCTAGAGGCATGAAATTTTGGAAAAAAAAGCCACAGAGCCAAGCTAATACCCATCAGTTCTCAATGTTCTCAATCTCTCTTTCTCTCAAGACAGGAAGACTCAGAGTTTGAGGCTATAGACTGCAATTATATTTCAAAAGAAAAGGAGCATGTGGACAAATTTGTTTTCAATTTAAGATTGTTCTTTATCTTAAAATCTATTATCCTGTTCTTGTGGAAGATTATTAAATACAACTTTTTAAAATTGTCTAATTGAAAATTTAAGGTACTTTGACCCAAGAGACTGTTTGAAATAGTTACTCCTAAAATAATAGCCAGAGGCAGCTGCAATGCCCAAACAGACATATCTATTAATTTCTATCAATACAGCTTAAAACTGGATTTTACAGCTTGTGGTTATTTAAATTTGGAAATAATTTTAGATTTTTAGATGAACTGTGCAAAATATTGCAGAGAAACTTTCTATGCCTTCCTTCCAGCTTCCTAAGATAGTAACTCACAAACTACAGAACAATTATCAAAAGTAGGAAATAAACATTAACACTGAACTACAAACTTTATTCAAATCTCACCATTTTTCAACTCCATCCTCTAAAGCATTTAGTCTTTATGGTTGGTCTCTTGGGTTTCTAAGCTGTGATAGTTCTTGTTTTTCATGGCTGCAGTGCTTTTAGTGAATTCTGTAAGCTACACCTCTCAGTTTACCTTTGTCTTAAGTTTTCCTTAAGTAGATTAAATTCACATATTTTCCTCAGGAATATCATGAATGTGATGCTGGGTCCCTTTCCGGTGTACCACACAGGCAATATATGATTAGTTTTGTAGTTCAAATTGACCTAGCTTTGTCCATATGGACTCTTTCATTTAGGATCCTATGTCCTTCTGACTGGCTTGTCTTTTTGTACTTTAAGTTCATCTTGTATTTCCCTTTTTCCACATCTTGTACCAGCCTTCTCTCTAAAAATCTGTAGTTCATTTTTCCTGGAGAATAGTTTTAGACAGAGTCTAGGTACTGTGTGCCCATTACTACTGAGTGTCACTGCACTCGGACCCTGTTAGCAGGCAAAAGCAGGAAAATAAATGTATGTGCCTTTGTCAGACTTTATGGATATTTATAAAATTCAAGTATTAACAAATAACTGATTCCAATCCAATACCACAAAGTGTGCTCAAGCCTTCTTTTTAACTATAAAAGTTAGAAACCTGGCTCTCCTCATAATGTAGCTACTTATTTGTTCAATCCTACTACAAGGGAACTACTAGCACCACTGAGAAATAAATATACTCAATGTTTATATTTAGTTCCCTTGGTCTTTTTTTTTTTATCATATTTTGTTTGAGAATTCCTATGTCTACAATGTATTTGATCAAATGTATCCTCCCATTCCCTTTCTTCTATTTCCTCCCTTATTACCTGCTATTTTTTTTTTTTAATCTCCCAACGTCATGTCTTCTGTTTCAAAATTCACCACGTCCACTTAGAGCTCCATGTATGTGCATCAATGTAGGACTATTTACTGGAGTATAGCTAGTTTCTCAAGAGCCACGTCCCTAAGGGCCATTTCTCTCCATTAGTAGTCATCATGACGTAACCCTGTCATATCTGGCAGATACTCTTCTGTGTAGATGTCTATTACCTTTGGCTCTTACAATCTTTTTGTCTCTCTTCTATAATGATTCTTGTCCCACTGACGGCTGAGCATTCCATAGACCTCTATCCTTGCACACTGACCAGTTGTGAGTCTCTATTAATCAGCACTTAAATGCAGAAAGAAGTAGAACCCAGGTCCTTGGCAAGAGCAGCAAGTGCTCTTGGCCCAGTAATTTATGGGATAAATGTCACTGGGTCATGGCATATTTTGTTTGATAGCATTCCATTATGTTTTATCACTAATCATTAAATTGCACTTATTTGCAGCTTTCTTTGTACTGTGTTTACTTGACTTAGGTACCAGTCATGTTTGTGTTAGAGATGACTTATAGAGTATCCATTTCAATGCTCCAGGATGATTTACTGAACATTAATAACATTTATAGAGCCTTTATAGAACTTTGAACATTTGGACAATTTCTCTTGTGAAACCACCTGTCATTGTTCTTTCTAGAGAAGTAGTTTATTAACATCTTTACAACATCTGTTCAATTTTCCAAATCACATGAGGTCAATCTGGGTCACATGAGTCTTTCTAGAAAACTGCCCATTTTACCTAGGTTCTAAAATCTGAGTTCCACGGGGTTTGTATAATAGTCTTCTGATTTTTAACTACAAGAATTAACAATTTAATTTTCACAATGCAAATGAAAACACATTTTTTTTGGTTTCATTTATTCTTTCCCAAATTATTTTGATAAGAGGAAAGTGAATCCTTCTTGTTATATTAGAAAACACTCAAGGGTCACAGCATCCTAATCTCCTGGAGAAGTAGAATAAATAAAATAAACTGCTATGCAGCCTTTCGTTTATCTTTATCTGTCGATAAGTGGGTATAACTAAGGAATAAGCAGCTTGCGTTCCTGGAGGCCCATGTATCACTGGCGTGTCATCTCCCATCGGTGGCCTCTTCCCAGGTCTCACTGGTATTATCTCAAGAGAAGGTCTACCTTTGGCATTGTGTGAGAGCCTCTCATATGGAATTCTCATACATACCAAGGTGAAGACAAAATGGGGAGGCTAGAGGGAGGTGGGCTACAGGATGAGGGGAAGAATACGAGTTGCAGGCCTCGTCCTTGGTTGGTGTCAGTCAGGCTCTGAGTTGGGTCTACATTCTATTTGTGTTCTATCTACAGCTCAGTGTGTCTTTCTCTTGTGTGAAGTCATGGTGGGTGAGGTATGTATTCCAGAATTAGAACAGAATGTGAGCATGTTGCTCTGCAGGCCATCAGCTACTCTGGTCCAAGCCCACTACCAAAATGACATACCTTGTCCCTGAGCAGTGTCTGAAAGAGCTGTCAAAGCTGTGGCTCCTTCCCGCCCCAGCCTGTGCCACAGCCACAGGAGCTGTCAAAATGGCAGCACCTGTCAAAATGGCAGCTCCTCTCAGAGCAGAAATGCCTCCTCAGCATGCTGCCATTGTGAGATGCCACCTCGGGAGCTGTCCACGGTGTCTGCACCTTTCCTGCCTCAGCCTGCTGCTGTAAGATGCCAATGCAGGAGCTGTCCACGGTGGTGGCATCTCCTCTAGTCTCTGTTGGCTACTAATGCCAACTCAAGCTGCAAGGAAAGGCTACCCTGTTGTGGACTCCCTTTGTAAACTCTGTATACTTGTAAATCTTCAAGGCATGAAAGTGGCCAGGCCTCTCCTCCAGACATCTGTCATAGCAGTGTTTCCAGCCTCTGTAACTGTCACAAAGGTCATCTCCAGCCCCTCAATAAGACCCATTCCAGATTATGCTAATGTTAGGTGAAAAGTCTGAACAAAAAGCCACCAATCCCTGAGTTCCCCAAGCTCAGGACTTGAAATTCCACCAATCCTCATTCTGGAAATCTCTGCCCTGAAAAGCTCCACATCATAAGAAATCCTATATAAAGGGGGTGTCTGCTCAGTTCCCTTCTCCTGAAAGCAGAGGTAGCCACCTCTGGATTGGTCCTTCCAATAAATCTCTTTTATGAGATTTGCTGAGTGGTGTGATTCTCATCTGAAGAAGCCAAGAAGCAATGAAGAGAAAAATAAATGAAGGAGTGGAGCAGGGCTGATGTTCCTGAGCATCTCAGCTCAGCTGGGGATAGCCTCCCCTGGAGCTGCAAGGCCTCTGCTAAGGAGGACTCCTCTCAGAGCTGTGTGGTTCCTGGGCTCCTGTGTCTCAGGACACCCTTCCATTGGCATACCTCCTCCCCTCAGAGCTGTGTGGTTTCTGGGCTTCCAAGACCCTGGGATTAAAGATGTGTGCCATCACACCCGCCCTGAGACTTAGTTTTAAAGATCTGAGACATACCCTTTCACATGTAAAAAACATTTGTAAACTACAGATTTTAACATCTCTGAAACAGAAAAGAAAAAATGAGAAGTGTACTCCTGTTTCATTTATTTGGCTCATTAGTGAAAATTATTCCACACATGTTATGCGAATAACATGAATTAGTAACCTCCCCGAAATCTGCTAATAGTAATAAGGCCTATTGCCCTTAAATTATTCCTAGGTTCGAGTGCTCTGTTAGGCAGGCTTTGTGGCTTTTTTTTTTTTTTTTCTCTACAAGTAGTTTCTTTTCACTCTATTCCTGTCTACCTTTATAGGCTAGTGGCAACTGTCTTTGCAAATCTCAGTATGCTTGATTCAAGTTTCCATTTCCTTATTTCATCATTCATTCATTCACTGGTTTCTTGAGACGGATCCTGATATGTTTACTAGTGTAGGTTACACATTCTTGCTCTAAGTTTTTCCCATTCTTAAAAACAAACAACCAAACCAACAATAACAAACAAAAAAAAAAAAATCAACTCTCACACATCACCATACCACCACCACCACCGCCACAGAGTTCATTGTTTTATGCTGGCCATTCTCCCTGCACCTGAGGCTTGCCCTGGGGTATGTTTAGATGCCCAGTGTTGCTTCATTAAGAAAATGGATTTTTTTTTTCTCTTTCCGATGCTATTAGTTCCTGCAAGGTTCTTAACCATGCTTGATGTTAGCATTTTCCAAGATGCCTTTTCAAATTCTAAAGTTTCATATGATGCTTCAGTGATACCGTGAGTGACTAGGAGGGGCTGGATACAGTGAGAACAGCCCTGTTTTGTCTATTTTATACTATGGGTTCTGTTTTAGAGTCATTGATTTTACTGTTTTCTACTACTAAAATAAATGTAAAAACTACTCTTAGCAATCTGGCCTCTAGATGTGTGCAGCTCAATTGCACTGTATTACAGTCATACTTTAAAATGAAAAAATAAAAATCTCACCAGTCATGGTGGTATATACTATAAACCTAGTACTTGAGATTAAGAGTGTGATGTTATTCTAGGCTATACAGTAAGACCCTGTCACTAAAAAACAGAAAAACAGACAAACAAACACCCCTTTTCAAACTCCAAAAATAAATTCCATTTTTAAAAGGTACTAAAAATCACCTGAAGTAAAGGAATAAAATCCTCCTGTTCTAGATAGCTGCAGCTGGGCTTTGCCAGAAGCCAGATGAACTTGGAGGCATCGTCATGATGGTTACTTAGCAACCTACAAAAGAAACACTGATTAGGAAGATCTGCTACTCAGAACATAAAATGACTACATATAGACAGGCTGATAATTTTAGTCTGACCTGGGTGTTTTTTAGATTAAAAATCAAATGTTCTTTTCTTTCTTTCTTTTTTTTCCCCAGTGTTGGGAATTAAAGGGCAAACTTTGTGTATGTCCCTACTGTCCAAATGCTCCCTTTTCAGTGGCTTCCACACTTCTGACTTTTGTCAAAGGAGAATCAATTACAAGATGGTAAACTTTTCTTCTAGAATGTTTTTGAGACTGAGGCCACAGGGAAAAATGAACTGATACAGCTAAAATATGTGTTATGAAAATATACTTAGGGGAGAAGGCCCATTCAGTTTAGTATAGGACATGCAAGACCAGAGCTTCTGAGCTAGCAAGAAGAAAATACCTAGGTAGATTTCTATGCATTATAGGAGATATCAAATTTTTTACTGTTAGGTTCACATATTCATGGCCAGCCTGACAGGGCTTTTAAAGAACAAGCTTTAGAAAGCCAGGTCTCTGCTAAGTCTTCTAAGCTTCTAGAATTCTTTTTTTAAAAAATTCTTTATTAATTACACTTTATTCACTTTGTATCCCCCCCTGTGGTTCCCTCCCTCCTCCCATCCCAATCCCTCCCTTCCTCCACCCCTCTGCATGCATGCCCCTCCCCAAGTCCACTGATAGGGGAGGTCTTCTTTTCCTTCCTTCTGATCCTAGTTGATCAGGTCTCCTCAGGAGTGGCTGCATTGTGCTTCTAGAATTCTTTACTGCCAACTATTTGCTGGGTATTTCCATATACTCTGACAGAAAAGTCAAAACACTGAAAAAGCTAAAGTTAAAAACTTTTCAAAGTAGTCCTTCTCCTGGACTTTTTTTTTTTTTTTTTTTTTTTTTTTTTTTTTTTTTTTTTTAATGGTAGTACCAAGCCAGACAGTGGAGGAACACACATTTTATCCCAGCACTTGGGAGGCAGAACAGATGGATCTCAGTGAGTTTGAGGCCAGCCTGGACTACAGAGCTAGTTCTAGGACAGCCAAAGCCAAGGCTACACAGAGAAAGCTTGTCTTGAAAAACAAACAAACAAAAAAACAAAACAACAACAGTAACAAAAAGGTGTACCAGTCTTCATTATCTGGGTTTGAAAGTCCTGGAGAGATCAGGGATACATGGCACATACCTAAATATAGTAAAGGCAAAATACAGCAAGTCTACAGCCAACATCAAACTAAACGGAGAGAAACGTAAATCAATCCCACTGAAATCAGGGACAAGGCAAGGTTGCCCACTCTCTTCATATCTCTTCAATATAGTTCTTGAAGTCCTTGATAGAGCAATAAGACAACTAAAGGAGATCAAGGGGATTCACATCAGAAAAGAAGTCAAAGTATCACTATTTGCAGATGATATGATAGTATACATGAGTGACATCAAAAATTGTACCAGAGAACTCCCACAGCTGATAAATACCTTCAGCAAAGTGGCTGGATACAAAATTAACTAAAAAAGAAAAATCAGTAGCCCTCCCATATACAAAAGACAAATGGGCTAAGAAAGAAATTACGGAAACAACACGCTTCAAAATAGCCACAAAAAACCATAAAGTATCTTGGTGTGACTTTAACTAAGCAAGTGGAAAACCAGTATGAAACTTTGAAATTGTTTAATCTTTTTTTCTATTCATTCTTTAAATTCAATTATCAAGTCCAAATTTTCTTATTTTCCTTCATTAAGCATTTATTGAATGCTAACTGTATGTGCGGTATTACAGCTGGTCTTGAATGGACTCGGATAAAAGAAAATAGCAAGGGTTCTATTCCCTATGAGGAGTGTGCAGTCCAGTGTGTGATTGGCAGTAGAATTCTACTACTGGGGAGCAACCATGATATTAGCAGTGTGTACAAGGTATCATGAACAGACAGAGGAGGCTCATTCGATTCCCTGCAGAGTGAAGTAGGAAAACGGTGTTATGGTGAGGAGGGTGGCACACACAGATGCCTGGTGTGACATTCAGACAGTACCGGGGTAGCAAGCGCAGCGCTAGTAAGAGGAGGGGGCATGTACAAATAAAATCTAAGAAGGTCAAGATTATTTTTCATAGAGGAATTTTGACTTAGACAGTGACATATGTGATCAGATGTGCTTTTCAAAAACATTAAGCTGGAGGTTAGAGGAGTCTGAGCATGAACACTGGAGGTGTGAGACCGACAGGGGAACATCTGGTAGGAATGAAAGGAGATGGTGCTTTACAGGTACACGGAGTGAGAAGAAAGGTGGAGTTCATCGTAACTGCCAGAGTTCTAGCTGGGAACAGGAGGTTCTGGAGCAGAGATCGAGTACTGGAGTCCTGAAGAAATTTCCCTGGAAATGTTTTGGACAGCTGCTTCTTCCTGTTTCTAATGTGCTCTCCAGGTTCTGGGCCTTACAAACTCTTGGTGGGACTGCTAGGGAGCGTCCTAACAGACGTCACTGCTCTTCTAACCTTTCAGCAAAGACAGTTCTAAAACAATCTTTGATTATACAAGCCCCTTGCTCAAAAATGTATAGTATTCTACCACTTACATGCAGAAGTTTAAATGCCTACACTGGCCATTTAAGGGCCCTGTCACTATGTTAGAGGATGCTACCCACCTATCTTATTACTCTGCTAAATCCAGCTTCCATTCCAGGGAGCTGGCCTGAGTCATATGTAATTTGGCTTTTATGTCACTCTCATGCTGTTATGTTCTTTAAGGCCTAGCTAATAACTATCTCTTTCAAAAACCTCTCTTGACAACTGAACTTTTTTCTCATTTTTATACTCACTATATTGATTATATGGTGTATGTAATATTTGTATATGTATATTATATATGTGTATATAATAATTGTATGTATTAATATATCCTAAAAGAACATGGCTCATTGACTTATACAAAGAAAACTCTCAAAATGTTAGTGATCTAACGAATACCACACTAATTTTGTTTTGAGCTACAACCAGACATTTATATTTATTCTTTTTTTTTTAAGATTTATTTATTATTTATATACTATACTGCCTGCACATACACCTGCACACCAGAAGAGGGCACCAGATATCATTACAGATGGTTGTGAGCCAACTATAGATGGTTGCTGGGAGTTGAACTCAGGACATTTGAAAGAACAACCACTGCTCTTAACCTCTGAGCCATCTCTCCAGCCCTTATATTTATTCTTACTGTCTTTATTGTTACTGAATATATTTAAGGCCCCAGAAGTGAAATAAATATCCATTAGAAAGGAAGATTAGTTCAGTGGGTGCTAATGAAAACTACCTTATAGGATTAGAAAACTGATGGAATGACAGTAAGAGAAAGTGATGAGGTTTTTAAAGAGGAGGATTTTTATATATTTTAAGAAAAGCATTGCACTATTAAATTCGAAAGTAATGCAACAGATGAGAAATAATCTAAAATGACAAAGTTAAGTTAGGATGCTTTTTTTAAATCAAAAAGAGAGAGAAAGGTGATTTACAGTTTTTGTTAATGTTCTAGGCTGATAAACTCCATAAGGCAAGCGATTTTTAAAATGAGACTTGAAGGCAAGCATAGTTGTCCTATCCTGACCATATGATTTTAAAGGCAAGGGTTGTTTCGTTAGTGACAAATGACACATTGATATTAACAGTAAGAGAAAGTAGAGCAAAGCTAGAACTTACTGCTTTGGCTTGAGAGTTTTGTCCCAGGGCTGGTACTCTAGGAATGTAAAAAAGAATGTGGAGCTATTTCTTCCCCCTAAAAATTGTCCTGACTCTAAGAGCGAGAGATACCCAAGTGCAGATATGAAATGAGTAGCAACACATAAATAAGTGGGGAAGAGAAGGAGAGAATTTTAAGATGCTCATTCTAAAACCAACTCAAAGGCATTCTGACAGGAAGGAAATGATTTCCTTATGCTTATGACTTCTGTATTTTAGTTATAAAAATTCTATACAGGTCTTATTAGCAGAGCAAGCCAGGATGCATATGTATATGACAAAATGTTTTAATTCTGTATTATCATCTTCCAGTTATTATTTATGCTTGAATACTCTTTGGCCTTAAAAATATCTTACACTGTAGCTCAGGTAAGGTAGGAACTCATGGCACTCTTCCTGCATCAGCCTTCAAAGTGCTGGGATTACAGGCATGAGTCTTTATGCCTGGCTTAAACATTTTCATTTTGTTTTTCAAGACAGGGTTTCTATGTGTATCCCTGGCTGTCCTGGACTCACTTGGTAGTCCAGGCTGGCCTCAAACTCAAAGAGAACCGCCTGCCTCTACCTCCCGAGTACTAGGATGACAGATGTGTGCCACTATGGGCTCAAACTTTTTAATATACTATATTTGGAGCATGAATTGCTTTCTGTGAAGAGTGAAGTTTACAAAAAAATTTTGAAAAACTCAAACCCCTCTCCTAGGGATGGTAAATCAAACCATCCACTTAACATCCCTAAATACTTACTCTGTAAGCCTTCCTTTCAGAATCTGGCTTTTAAATGGCGTTTAAGAGGAACTTCCACTAGAGGGCACCCAAGCCATTTTAGTAACTGACCATGTACAGGTGCGCACTTGGATTCTTTTACTACAGGAGGGTGGGGACAGCTGCTTGTGCTATGTAACTCCATGGGCAGTTTCTTGCAGAGTTACCCACCATGACTTTTTGATCATTTGCTTTTCTGCAGAAGTTGTTCTCCCCAAGAGATGGCAATTCCTTTCAATAAATGGATATGGCTGCTGTGTCCATCCCTGCTCTGCTGCTCTAGCCACCAGTACAAATGTCCACCCTCTCTCAGAGACAGGTTTAACTAAAAACTCTGTGACTCTCAGAGTAAGTATGTAAGTCAAACTGGACACAAGCTATCTTTTACTCTAGTCATCCTCAGGTTCTCATACTGTTAAAAATATAATAGCAGCAAATACATTTCCTTTGTTTTGGTCCAGTGTGTCTTCTGCTAGACTATTTCCTATTTATTTTTAACCTCCAGCTTGTTCATGGCTTTCTCTTAACCAACACTCACGTCTTGCTGTTTTCTTAGACTTCTGTTTTTTGTTTTTGTTTTTTTTTTCATTTCTGCCAGCAAGATTGAGCTCGGTGAGCTATGTCACTTATTTAACTCTTTTACCCTCTAGTATATGTTCCAGATGAGGACTCCTCGGGGCCAGGCAGATACCTGGATACAGGAAGAAAGCTGAAGAGCAGCCAAACCATCTATACATTTTAAGTTATTAAGTTGGAAAAGAGAAAGACCTAGCTGAGTTCCCCGATATGTTTGTTCTTGTGACAGGGTCTCAGTCTACAGACCTGGCTGGCCTGAAACTTGCTATGTGGACCAGGCTGTAGGATCTTTTCCTGTCCCATGTTCTTGATTGCTAGAATATCAACGAGAGGGGTACAGAGAAGTTGGGAGGAGGGGTAGAAATGATATAAATATAGTACTCACATTTGAAATTCTCAAAATAAATTAAAACAAAAAACAACCCAAGGCCAAATGCCTTTTCCTCTGTTAGTTTATGATCGCTCATTAGTACTTTTTTTCCTTTTTTCTTTCTTTGTGCTATTTCCACCTTCAGGAAAGTCTCTTATATTTACCACTACTTATATACACATTTAAAAGGGGATATTCCTTGTACTGTATCAGGCTGTTTTTCTCTGCTATGGGAGAGGTAGGCCAGTGACTTTGTAATGTCATGCAGACGATGTAGATTCCATGAGGGCTCTTATATTCCTTGGTATCTGAACCACTCGGAATCAACCCAGGAACCCAATGGCTAAACGCCAGGGGACAACATGAAGAAACTCAGGCTTTGATGTAGTTCTTTAAAGAAGTTTACTAACTGGTAGTGTCTTGCACACCCTTAACACTTCAGTCCTAATATAATGAAGAAAGAATTTGATTTATGATTAGAATTTTAAGACTAGGAATTCACTATGCATTTACCAATCACATACTTTGTTTTCAAACATCACACAACTAAGAGCCTTTGGGGTAGTATGAAGAAATTAAAAGGAACCTCTAAGTTAATTCTGCTGATATTATGTGCATATTTTAAATAGTAAGTAGAGAGCATTTCCATTTGACTAGGAGAAAAACTGAGAAGGACATGCACAAAGAAGGGTTATCAGCTAGAAGGGAAGACTGGCTGTGCTGGCTGGTCTTATGTTAACTGGACACACAGATTAGTTATCTGAAAGGAGGGAACCTCCATGGAGAAGAGGCCCCATAAGATTCAGCTGTAGGCATTTTCTTAATTAATCATCGATGGGGGAGGGCCCAGCCCGTTGTGGGTGGTGTAGTCCCTGGACTGGTGGTCCTATGTTCTATAAGAAAGCAGGCTGTTCAAGCCATGGGAAGCAAGCTAGTAAGCATGGCCTCTGTCTTACCTCCTTGCTTCCAGGTTCCTGCCCTGCTTGAGTTCCTGTCCTGACTTCTTTTGGTAATGAACAGCAATATGGAAGTGTAAGCCAAATAAATCCTTTCCTTCTCAAGTTACTTTTGGTCATGGTGTTTCATTGTAGCACTAAAAACCCTGAGACACTATCCCTGATCTTCTAAATCAGCGGTTCTCCATCTGTGGGTCATGACCACTTTGGGGGGGTGTGTGTGTCACATACTAGATATCCTGAAAATTAGATATTTACATTATGATTCATTAACAGTCGGAAAATAACAGATATGAAGTAGCAACAAAATAATTTCCTGGTTGGGGGTCACCACAACATGAGAAACTGTATTAAAGGGTCACAACATTAGAAAGGTGGAGAACCACTGTCCTAAATAGCGTTTTAAGGAATAACACCTAGGGGCTAGGACACAGCTCTGTGGGTAGAGTGTGTGCCTGGCACGCACAAAGCCTTGTGTTCAGTCTCCAGCAATGCCTGCACCCAGTGTGGTAGTCATGCACACGTTTAACTTGAACTTGGAAAACGGAAGAAGGTCAGGAGGTCCAAGTCATCACTGGTTACCTAGTGAGTCCAGCCTAGGTCACATGAGACTTTGTCACAAAACAGTATCTAACAGCATCCAGGGAAAAGATTTAAAGAAAAAGTTGGGCTTGAATTGAGATAATTTATCAGAATATTAACAGTCAATAATATTTGATTAGTAATCTTGTCCTCTGTCCCTTAATTGGAGCTCTCAAAAATGTGCGGATTAAAATCTGTAGGATCTGGTGATTTTGGTAAATCAGCTGGATATAGTTCCCCATTGGATTACTTAAGACTGTAAGTATGTTCCTTTTAGTTCTCTTCTGGTGGCGAATGGTGCCTTCCTGGGGTACACCGGCACACGTGCACGTGTACTGCGGTGGCCAGAGGACACCGGTTTTCTACCTCTTCACAACGCTCACTTTATTCACTTAAAACAGGGTCTGTCACTGAACCTGAACCTTTAATTTTCTACAGGACTGGATGGCCGATGAGCTCCTGGGATCCCTGTTTCTGTGTCACATAATGTTTAGGTTACAGGTGTGTACAACCATGCCTGGCTTTTTATATGGATTCTGGGGATTTGAATGTAAGTTCTCATATTTGCACTCTTATCCTCTTATCAACAGAACCACCTCTCTAGCCTGCAGATATGTTTTTCCTGTGATACACATGGTTCTGTCCTTAAAGGAGAATCTTCATTTACTTTTATCATTGTTATTGGATTCAAATTCCGAGTCTCTGCTTCTATAGGTAAAAAGAAAGTAACTGTCAAATAGCTACTTTAAAATATCTCTGAAGATCTACTTTACTATTTAAAGATACAATATTAGAAATCTGAAAAAAATTACATGTATGGGTGTACTGTCTGTATGTACCATATGTATGCCTGGTGCCTGAGGAGGCCAAAAAAGGGCTTTGGATCCCCAGGAACTAGAGACACAGAAGGCTATAGTCACCATGTAGGTGCTAGGAATCAATCTAAGGTCATCTAAAGGAGCATCCAGTGCTCTTAACTGCTGAGCCATCTCTCTAGCCCCCTTTTTTAGACAGCGTCTTACTAGGTAGCCTTGGCTAGCCTGGAACTAGCTATGTAGACCAGACTGGCTTCAAAATCACAGATCTGCTTGCCTCTGCCTACCCAGTGCTAAGATTAAAGGAAGTCACCATTCCTTTAATTATTTAAAGGCCTAATAGGCAAAGTCTTGTAGCAAAGAACTTGTAGGTGTAACTGGTAATGAATCATAGAATTTTCCTTATTGAATTATAAGATACAAAGAAAATGAATAAAATAATAAGATAAATAGCATTTATAAGAACCACACAACTCTTTGCTAGTTCCAGAATGACTGCTTGAGTACCTACTTTTTCCACATGGCAATGAATGACTGTGCTGTCACAAATCCAGTCTTCTCTCCTCCTGCAGCCTTGAACATGGGGGCTTTCCAATAGAGCGGACAGCCACAGACCTGTAGACAGAAACAATACAGAGTAAACTGAGAGAAGGGAAGAGATGGCATAGCCAAAAGAAGAGACATGAACCTTTACCTGTCAGGCCATAGTGGGTAAAAGGGCTGCTGGGGCCAGTGAGAGAAAGGGGAGGGAGAAGGAGGGAGAGCAGATAAGCAAAAGAGTAACTTCTTTTAACATGTTTAGTGCAGTAAGTAGAAAGCCATTTGTCTTTTTTCCAAACTAACTCCCCTCCCAACAATAGCTTCAAAAACCCAGCATCTTTTTCCTGCCACTCTCACAGCATATTAGAAAGAAAAGGCTACACTTCTGGCTGTGTATGTCCTTCATTTCTGGAAGAGAAAATGTAGTCATTTTTATTACTGGGTCACTTGTCATTCAAATACTCTACTACCCACCTCCTTATTGCTCCTCAAGCTCCAGGTGTACAAAAGAACAGCAACAGGAACAAACAAAAAAATAACTAAACTAGTAAAGGGACTTCAGAGATGGCTCAGTGGCTAAGAAAGCATAGCGCTCTAGCAGAGGGCCGGAGTTTGATTCCAAGCAACCATAGCAGGTGGCTCACAACTGTTTATAACTCTAGCTCCAGGGTTATCTGATACCTCTTACTTGTGAGGGCACCTGCACCACACACACATACACACACACATGCGCGCACGCGCACACACACACACACACACACACACACACACACACACACACACACAC